TACAGAGCTGGAACATGTAGCCCACAGGCTGACATCAGAGGGTGCTCACTGCTCATGTTAGTGCATCTAATGGTTATATAACATTTCCAACTGCTTGAACTGAAATCATTTTGTTAGGGGGAAAGAATGTCCTAAAGCTAATTCCATACAGGCTTTGTGGACTCCACCCCCACTCCAGACCAAAGCCAAAAGACACTGGGAACTACAAATCCCATCACCACCAAAGGGAAGGTTACTAGAACCTGAGGGGGGGTTAAGCAGCCAGGGTTGGTATAAAACCAGACACGTGGGCTTTTGGGGGGGGGGGTGTGTTCCCATTTTGGCTCTCCGCCAGCTCGCAGCACTCTGCCAGCTCTCGGAGTTGCCTTTGGGTTTCCAGGTCAGCAGATCAGGTAGGACGCATTAAAGACTTTATTTCCCTATTTTCTCCCTGAGTTGTACATTTCCTCATTTCCCTTTCCCTTGTAAATAAACCTTTTATTAACCTTTTGTGTGTGTCTGCAGTGGAGTATTCATAAGTCTCTTTTAAGCGCGCAGGTGAGGACCCGCAGCCAGGCAACCCGTTTTTATATCGGGGCTGCTCTGTAACAATTTCAGTAACTTATAAAACTAGGAAGTCTATCTTAGGGTTAGTCTCTCTTACTCTAAATAGTTTATTGCCATCTTTTTGGATAGCTGTTTTTTTATTGAGTTGTAATTCATATGTCGTACAAGTCATAACTTGTAAGTATACAGTTCACTGTTTTTTGGTGACCTTTGTTAACGAAGTTATATACCAGCCATCACTATGCAATTCCAGAATATGGTCATCACTACTCCCCCCTCTAGAAACCCTATACATAAGCAATCTGTTTCCATTTCTCCCTCCATGAGCTATGGCCACCCCTAATCTATAGTCTGTCTTTGTGAATTTGCCTATTTCAGAAATTTACGTATATGTATGACCTTTCATGTATGTCTTCTCTCATCTTAGCATATCTTCAGGATTCAGCCATGTTGCATGTATCAGCATGTCATTCCTTTTTATGGCCGTGTAATATTCTATTTTATGGATAATCCCATTTTTTTCTCCATTTATTAACTGATGGATATTTGGGTTGTTTCCACATTTTGGCTATTAAGCATAGTGTTGCAGTGAACATTTGTATATATACAGGTTGTCATGTTGTGTGAACATATGTTTTTAGTTATTTTGAAAATATACTTTGGTGGTATTTTTCTAGATCATATGGTAACTCTGCTTAACTCTTTGAGGAACTGTGAAAGTATTTCCTTATAGAGATTTTTTTCAAATTCCATATGTTTGTTATTTTTAACATGAGATGTACTAAGGAGCAGGGTTATATCTTTAAGTCTTTCAACTATTACTGTGCTTTCATATGGTCCCAAACACCCTAGGAACATCAGCAGATCCAGCTTTCTATCTGTGGGTATTTACTGTGCACCTTTGTGTTACTGTCTTATAACACTGGGGATGTATCAGTGGGCAGAATGGGGAAGGTTCCTTTTGTCACGATCTACCAGTCTGGGGGAGGAGGCATCATTTACATAAATCCTCTCTCAGCTAGATATATAGTAAACTGGTAAATGCTCTGAAGGAGAACTTGGTGATTTTAAAGCTGAGATCTGGAAAATGTGTAGAATTTATAGGTGAGGGCAGAATGGAATCACATGTAAAGAATTTGAGCCAGAAAGAGTATGTTGCTTTCTCCACAAAAGACTTGGTAGGAGGCAAGAGTTAATGATGAGGGGGGTAATCTGGAACTGCTTCATCAATTTTTTTTTTTACTTATTTTATGGGGCAAGTGAAAGCATGAAATGTTTTTATAAAGATGACCTTATCTTTTGTATCTATGTGTATGTACAAGGATATACAAATTGATACATGGTTATGGCCTATATGTAAGATCATTATACATAGTCACTTTTGCTATACTCTAGAATGAAACTGAAAGCAATCAAGAGTGAGTTCAGGAAGCTAGTGGTGAGGTGAAGCTAGTGGTGAGTTCAGGAAGCAAGTGGTGAGGCAAATCTCCCATTTGGAGATAATTTTGTTTGAAATAGGGGTCCTTGTATTGGTGATAGTGGAGAATATTTTCAAAAATTGGCAAAAGTTGAGGGCCTCTCTGGTGGCACAGGGGTTAAAGGCACAGTGCTATCAAGTTATTACCAGCGACTGCAGCTCAAGTTCTGTCCCCTTCCAGCTAGGGAGCTAACCCGTATGGTGCAGCAGACCTCCTGTCTCGCCCACTGCGCCCCACAGCAATGTATTTCATTAGATCTGACAGTTCTGCTCCCCACTCTGTTTCTAGTGAATCCTCTTACCCATCCTGGTGCCTCTGGCCAACACCCTCAGTTCTTGTATGCATAGGTAAATAAATCTTTTTTAAAAATTGGCAAAATTTGAGATACTTAGAGCATAAAATCTATGGATCAGTGGAATAAATGAAGTCCAGAAGGTGGTCCATTGCAGCGTCACATCAATTTAATGGGGAAAGAAAAATCTTTTAAACAGAATAACAGGTTATTTGAAAGCTTAATACAAAAGTATGTACCATCTGATTTAATTTATAGTAAGTATAGGGCTAATCTATGGTGACTAATTTATATCTACTTCTGGGTATGGAGGATGAATTGTAAAGGATCATGAAGGAGGTTTTTAGTTCTAAAGTGTTGGGTTTACAGGTGTTTACAATATTCAGATCTCATTGAACAGAACACTCAAGTTCTATATATTCTGTTGTAAATTATCCCTTCATTAAAGAAAACCTCATGAGCGTGAGGCGATTTTAAATTATTCATGCAAGTATCCTAAATAAGGGAAGCAGCAGGAAACCATGAACTTGGTAAGAATGGTGAGCCCCATCAAAGGAGGCAGCCACTACTCCACTCCAGACTCATGTCACTGGAAGGGAATTGAATGAAATCCTGAGCTTTCTAGATAAGCCCAAGTCTTCATTTTCATGGCAAATCCCTTGATCTTAACAAATATTGGACTTTTTTTAATCTAAGTATTCCAGTTGAGACAATGTTTAGTTAATATGCACTTGGATCGAAACAAAATAAATGGCAATTAAGAACTCTAGATATTATTGAACAGTATTTTCAAGTTTAAATTAATGCAAATTTATAGTCTCTTCTTCAGTATCAGTAAACCTTGGCTATGGTTGTTTTTAACAGCACTTTGCAAGCTTTCTTTATTGGATATTTGTTAATTAAAGGGCAGAATGATTAAAGGACAGCGTGCTCTCATTCTTTATTATTCAAAGCAACTAATTTTGAGGACGATACTGCTAGCTAGAGACAAAGATGGCCTGTAAACCCAGGACTTTTTTCCTGTAAGTCTGTGCTGTAAACCTTTTGGAGCTCTGGGAACAATATCAAGGGAGCAGGTTTGTTCCTGGAGAGCCACAGGCATTAGCATTCTGTGTGTTAGGATGCGGTGCTGATCAATTTTATATGCTTTTGGTTCAGATCCTTGTTCCCTAATTGTCTGAATATTGTAAAAATTGAAACTTTGACTTGTTACTAGTTGCAGATATTATACTGGAAATATTTATGTTTTAGTTCAACTTGGAAGTTAGTTTTTAAATCAAAGTTGATTCACCAAAGTACCCTGTAAAATATTCATTGTTGCATTAATTCATTTACTGAGACACACAATTGTCTTACTGCCAGGAGTGCTAATGAGGTGCTAGAGATAAAAAAAATGAGTAAGACACTGCTGCTGGATTCAGGAAATTCTGGGACACACACAGAAGAAAATATTTAGATTAAATTGCTTTATAGTGTATACTGATTTCAAGACATTGGTATATAATTAATGTCAGGTTAGCTATTTGACATTAGGGATTATCATTGTGATTTGCTTCAAAGAGTGCAGCATCACCTCTTCTAATATCAAAATAAACCCGAATCCAAGATTGTTGTACCTATAAATGATTCATTCTGCAAATATTGGCTGAGTGACAACTTGGGTGTCAGCTACTATGCTTTTTCCAGGGAATAGAGTGTTAGTCATAGCAAATTTAACTTTACCCTTATGGAATTTGTTGTGGGATAATTTGTTGACCCTTGACATTCCTTTTCTTTAGTTATTCTCTTTCCTGGTGTTTGCTTTTTCTTTCCATGACTATTGGTGTATTCATTATTATGCCACAGACAATTAGTTGTGTGGAAATAGTAATGGAACACTAAGAAATCAACTCTGTCATCACTTAATTGTAGCCTCTTTTTTCATTTCTTCTCACTAAACTAAAGACAAAAATATTTGTTCTTTTGCATTATTATAAACCTAAAGGTGCAAATTCTTTTTGTGTATAAGGTTCACTTATTTAGCAATCGATTCTGTGTTTTGTGATTCTTTATGAACATTGTTCTTGTTACGGCTTCTGAAATGTTTTTGTCACTCCCTTTTTCACCTATTTTATTATTTTTTTTTTTTTTAAAGATTTATTTATTTATTTATTTATGCAAGCCCTGGGTACAGTCAGAAGCGCGGGAGGGTGAGAGAATTCACTAGAGCCAGAGTGGGGAGCAGAGCAGGCAGAAGGACCGAGGTACACCGCTGAGGGGAGCAGCGGGCGGCAGGAGAGGTCTGCGCACCATGTGGGACCCTCCTCCGGTGGCCAGGGAGCAGCCGGGGATCGAACCGGCGCCTCAGAGGCCGCGGGCAGCTTCGCAACCCAGCGCTCAACCTCTGTGCCACCGGGGAGGCCCTTTTTCACCTATTTTAATGACTTCCTCCTTCAGGTGAGCCTATAATTTCTCTCTGTGCTGTAGAAATCCTTTGACGCCCTAAGAAGGTTACTCTGTGGCATCTGAGTTGTGTATTGGTTGTTTCCTATTGTTTTTATTATTTGACATATCTTTGCTATCATAATTAGTTATTAAATCTGTAAAAATTGCTGCTGGCTAATTGATGTGAACCTGTTTTAAGTAGTCATTTCAACAGAAATAAACTTGATAAATAGTAAAAATATTGCCTTTTCTCTTTCCAGTTTTGAGAAATGGTGCTTGGGAAATTGTACACTGGGAAAAGGTATGCATTGGTTTTTCTTTCATTCCAGGAGAAATGCATAGAGATGTACTTTAGTAGATATAATTTTGTATATAATATAAACAAATGTTAAGAATTCCACTAATGTGTAATTATTAATGTAAACATACATGGTGTTTTCATTTAGTTATTATGTAGTAATAATTTTGGAAAATACTAGGAAGGCTATTATCTTGAAATAATACTTGGAACTTTTTGTTTCTTTCATAATATATTTTGAGTGCTGTTTTCATAGATTTCATTTAATCATGAACTGTTTTGTATTGTAATATTTTGCTTTAATTTACTGTGCAAGTAAAAAATAATAGTTCTGATATTTCACATTTAAAAATTTTATTTCAAATTCATATACTGTGAATAATTGTATTTACACACAAACTGTCTTTCGAAATAACTAAACACCATCTTCTAGTGAGCTGGAAATTAGTTTCATACCACTGACATTAGTTTGCTCACAAGATCTCTAACATAGCAGTTAGAGAGTTGAATCATAACAAGTGTTCTCCAAATGTTTTTTAGACCTCAATTTCAAAAGGTAAGCAAGTCTTACTAGAGCATTCAATCTCTAGTCTTCATAGCTTGGTAACTTGGTGGCAAGGCCATTCTACCCAAAGGAATTTGTTTTCCGAGACTTCTGGGACAGTAAAGGTAGAACCCACAGTTAGATAATGTACTCCCCAGTGCTCCCCGGCAGGTTAGAGGCCATGCCCTCAATCCTGGCCTTTGATGCACATGGTTACCATGTCTCCCTGCCAGGAATAGGATTCTTCCTAAGCGAATTGTGTTTGTGTTGATTTTATATCAGTGGTTAGAATAGGGGTTGACATCCTGTTTTCCAAATATATGAAAACTCATCACTCTCTTTCTTTGCTCTTTGACATAAAAATAATGATGAGGAAAATACTTATTTCTTATTTCTGTGATAGTCACCTCTTTCAGAAGAACAAGATAAAACAGAAAAGTTCAAAACACTGTTTCAGAAGAATTTTCTTTATCCTTTTACCTAACATATCTAGACATAAACATTTTAGAGAAAATATAAGATATAATTATGAAAAAATAACTTTTGTTATAAATTATTTGCTTAACTAAGTTTGTTAGTGTGGTTAGCATAACTGCATAGTCTAACAAATTGATTTATCGGTTTCTTACCTTCCTAACTGCAATGCTTGTCCAGAAAATAAACACTTATAAAGTCAGGAGCTATCCATCTCCTACTTCATTCTAAAATTAACTTATTAAAATATTTTATTTTCCTACTACATAATCATTATTTCAAGATTGTGCTACTCTGTCTAGATTATAGTAACTCCCTTCAATTTTTCACATATAGAATAATTAAATTACCAGCCCACAATTACCCATAATAACAGCATTTTCAGTCATCTTGGAGGTCAGTGCCACACTGTCCCTGGGCAGCAAAGTAGAATTTAAAGCATTACCAAAAGTCACCCAGCCAAAATGAGCTGATGTTGCATAATAAAATAAATAGGTCATTAGTTAGGATTAATTATAGTTGGCTCAATGATAAATTCAGGATAAATATGCAAAAATTAATAACATTTTTGCTGGTATATCAAATTAGAAAAATGTATTGATAGTAAAGAGTTTTCTTTCCCAGTGACATGTGGGATGCATGGATATGACCTTTGTAAAGAAAATATAAAAATTTTAGATGGTAAATATTCAGACAAATGTGCACTTATGTCATAGTCCTAGAAAAGCTAAAACTAAAAATATCAGTTATTCCAAAGTATTTATGCAATGTAATCCCAGAGAAGTTACACTCTTTTTCCTTAAAAGTTGACTAAATTATTCATCTTGTTTTCAAAAATAAAAATTTCAGAAAATAGAATATTTTGGAAAAAATAAAAAGCAATATGTAAGAATTAACTACAAATAAAAATGGAAAGCAGAAGTAACTCAGTGTGCATCTGTGCAAAAATGCATAATGATAGACGATAGTACTCTGAAGTGAAGCCCATTGAATATTTGATGACAGATAAATATCATTGGTAAAAAGATTAATAAGTCACTTGGTTATCACAGATCAGCAGTTTTAAGAAATAGCATAGTTTATACCTAACTCGCAGCCCATGTTAAAATAAATTTTAACTGACTGAGTTAAATGTTAAACATTGTTTCTGAAAAACATACAAACAGAATAAAGACCACTAATATTTGAAGAACGAGTTCTATGGAACTTGATTATAAAAAATTTAAAGATATTACACAACAAAATTACCATAAATAAGTAAAATGTGGAACATATTTGCAACAAATAAAACAAAGAATTTAAATCGTTGTCATATAATTAGGAAATAAATGCTGGTAATAAGCAAGAAGAGATACAGTAGGGAAGCAGACACAGTATACTATTCAATCTTATGATAAAAATTGCTAATTCAAAAATATTGAAGTCTTGACTGCTATCTACTCAATAAATGAAAAAAAACTCACTTGTGTTTAAAATTTTTATTTTATTTAGTATTTCATTCCCATACTATTCTAATTTAGCAATTTGACTCTTCGTATTGAGAACCAGAAGGATTCAGGGAACTCATATCCTCAAAATAATCATAGAATAGGGAAAAATATATACCTATGATATGTTTTATAACAATTAGAAGTTGTTCAAATTCTGTGAAAACACAAAAAATTTCATACCATTCCTTCAGCAAATATTTATTGAATGTAAGTGGCAAATGGTGAATTCATAGCAACAAGCAAGACTTAAGAGGATTCTGTATCATAATATAACAATTATAGGTGAAAAGAACAGAACCATGTACACTAAGATGCAGGTCATGTAAAAATGGTTTATTATTTACTAAGTGGTCAGGAATGAAAGCAGGCTCATTTGTTTGGTTAGCCAAGCTGTACATCAAGTCTTTCCTTTAACTCATGTAATATTTTATGCAATTAAAAATAAAATCAGTAAATGAAAACCAAGTATCTGATCCATATGCCAAGGTGATAAACCTTAGTGCAGATGGGCCTCAGTCTAGGGTTCTCGTCTGCCTTTTTAAATGTGTGGCTACTATGGTTGCTTTTAATAGTCCTCACAGAGCATACAAAATTACAAAACATACAGCCCAGTTATTCACAGATGGGCAGTCCTCTGCTATCAAACATTAACAGTTCATCTCTTCATTTATTTTCCTAAAACCTTTTTACTGTTGCACAGGGTTAAGTTGAAAGTGTATGGGTTTCAAAGTAAGTATTGGCAATTACAAAGCTCTCTATAAGAAATAGCATTTCCATTCTTGAAATGTAACCAGAAGTCTTCATTTTCCTCATGCAAAAATTCTTCGCATTGACAGGCAGCTGAGACTGTTCATGGATTTTTGAGATAGATGCAAGTGGCGAATCTAGGGGATGAACTAACACCTTCTCACTTTGTAGGGAAGCATGGAGCGGTGAACTATATGCACGTAGAAGAGTCACTTCATAAAGCTGCTTTAATGCATAAGTTTCTACCATGCGATGTGGTTCTATGAATTAAGATTTTGTATCACAGTAAAATATTAAATATTACATATAAATATCCTAGGGCCTACAAATGGGCTGAGACAGTTGATTTTAAATCAATCTATTATAATTTGAGAATCTTACCTTTTGCATAATCTTCAATTGTAGTTGCTAATGCCAGTGACTTGAGAATCTCAAGGTAGTAGACAAAAGCCCTGAGAAATATTTCCTTCATTTCAGCATACTGTGACCTAAAACCACTTTGTCATGGTGCTCCTGCAGTGAGGATACGTGGTCAAAGGTTTTTGCCATCTTGACTTTCTTTTTGGTCCTCTTCTATGCACACCAGACTAGAAGGGCAAATGCCACATCAGGAACTCAGAGCCCAAAACGAGAGGTGCTTAGATGTGGTTGAGCGAGTGATCTAAAACACAAGCACTATAAGAAAGGAGTGATTGCCCTGCTTCACATTTCTATGGGAATGCTTTAGCTTTCATGAACCCTTGGTTTTCCCAAGTCACTGCAGTAACTATATTATCACCATAGAAAATGCTAATGTTTCCTGTCATCTTCAGTTTGATAACCACAAGCCTCACTTTGGTCTTTACATGAGCAGAGATGTTAGAAAGCAATGTAGCTAGTTGGGGATCTTCTTAAGTCTATTAGATTCGAATACTGTAAAGAAAACAGATACCTTGATTTTATGACGAATGTTGGAGAGAAAACATTACAGAGGATTAACAAAGCATTCACGGAGAAAGCATTAATAGATTGGAAAGGAAACTTTAACAGAAATAAAGAAAAATTAAATGGTAGCTGGGTAGTCCTCAAGTTCGTGGCTGCAGAACACTGACATTTCTCTATCTTGCTTTCTGTGGGGTTTTCAGAGTACTTTCGGAGTACATTATTTTAAGCTACTTTACATCTATACTTACTATTTCCTATTTTCCCAGTTTGTTCTATTTTTGAGGGAGGAAGTGTTTGATTCCAAGGTCCCTGGCAATTTGTCAATTTCAGATCATCCAGATACCCACTGAAATAATTATTTTTTAATCAAGGCATTCAAATCTTCTCTACATAGAGAACCAGTAGCATGGATGAGAAGATGCCCTCCATCCTTCCCTAACCTGTCCCTCTCCCCAGTACACAAAATAGAATACAATGAGCTGTCTTTGCAATTATTTCTTATCCATGTTGATATCATTATCTTTCTCACCAACAAGTGTTAGTTTAGGGTTCAAGAAGTAGGGAGGAGACTGACAAAAACACTTTCACCAAAAAAAACTTTTCTTGTTTAAATACTGAAACTTATTTTTAGATTCATTTGGCTGTTAAGAAAAACTTTCAGGATAAATGGGAGGGCCTGTCAACCTGGTGTGGTTAGCAACAGGTTTTAAATAGTTGGAGTTGTATTGGTTGCTGGAAGCTCTATGATAAACCTATCATTTAAATTTCTTCTAACAGTTTCTGGCCATAGAATGTCTTCAATTGTCTTCATACCAGCTCATAAAAATGCTAACAGGCAGTAAAATGAGAAAGAATTTAAGCTGTTTATTTTTTCTGTAAAATACAGGTGATATTTTTAGTAAATTTACTTATGTAGAATCAGGCTTTGCAGGACAACCAGATGTGAGTATAAGGCTAAACTCTTTCACTATGATGCTGGGTAAATAAATTAGAATCTGACTCATTTCTTTCCTCTCTAAATTATGATGATCACTAACACCTATTTGATAAAGTCATCATGAGAAGTAATGATCTGATTCCTTTCCACTTTTATTGAGATCTTAAACAAGTAACTATTTTATTTGACTAATTCCTCCTTGTTTTTATGTCAAAGAAAGAGAATATGAGAAGTTAAGATATCAATTAAGTGGTTAATTAGATGGATTTATTTTATTAGCTATTATTAAAACATAAAAATACAACATTCATTTTTAAAGTTTGTCCCATACTTAGATAATTACATCATTTTGTGAAGATAAGTGGTTCTTGTTCACCAATAACCATTTTACTGTATTCTATGCTTAAATACAATGGGTTGTATATTTGTAACTATCTTTCAATGCAGATAATTAACCAATTCCCAGTTTTCTTTCAGGTAAATGTTGGAGATATAGTTATAATAAAAGGCAAAGAGTTTATACCTGCTGACACTGTACTTCTCTCATCAAGGTAGAGATACCTACTGATGCTCAAACAGTGTAGAGGATGGTTTCTCTACCCTGCATTGACCTTGTGATTTCTCCAAGGAAATAAGGAATAAACGAAGAATTTTAAACCTCTCCAATGATTTTGAATTAAGCATTAAAAAATTTGATTGGACCTAAAGAACTCTTTCATGTTTGCCATATAGAATAAGTGATAGGTACTCTATAATTCAAATGCTATAATTACAATTAAGAGTCTGCTATGCCTCTGGATGTGTACAGATCCTTTTGTAGAGTCCTTCCTAAGAATACTCTTAGAAGATGGCCTATCATTTATTCTATATAATATATGTAATGGGTTCTTTTGATTTGATCTTGCAAACCTTGTTCATGATAAATTCCTCTATGATGCATTGGTATATGCCTGCAAATTTCTTGATCTTTATGGTGAACTGGTATAAGAAAATGGATGCGTAATTTCTTTGTTGTCATATCTTTTGAAATACCATAATTTTCCAACAAAAATTTAATTCCATTGCTCTTTTAAGTTTTCATTACTGAATTTAAATAACTTTTGTTTTATTCATATTTAAGATAGTCATGAATTAGTATTCAGAACACATGGCACTGTTACCCTGTAAAGAATGTGACTCTCAAATGGTTTTAGCTTTTAAAACTATAAAACTAGACCTAACATAAATTAAGAAAAATGTTTTGATATTTTAGAGGTTGTTTATCATCATTTCCTTGGACAGTTTTATTTGTAAAACCCACTATAAATATGGACAGTGTCATTTTTTCAAAATCTGTTTAATCAGGTCATTAAGTTTGAATTTATGATAAGCTAGTGAAACTTTGTCGAACAAATGAGTTACCCATATATTTGCAGAAGTAAGTCTATAACTGTATTTATAGTTATTGCAGTTATATTTCCATATTTTATACAGTTAGGAAGCTTTAGTGTCACTCAAGTTTTACTTTCTAGAAAAATAAAAATTAATAGATTTTGAAACCAATATTTCTGTTATTACTTTCCTTTGCTTATAACTTTACCAGGGTAAGTCTCCAATACTGAAAGAAAGGTAATGAGCCATACAAGGACTCCTAAGAATAAGTTCACTGTGAACTTAACTGTCCTTGTCTCAGGTACTGGGTAACATCAGATACTTGAGAGCGCTCTGTTTAGGAGGCAGAAAGCCAGGGCTTATATCCCAGCTTGGTGATTTTTGAACAAAATATTTAATCTCTCAGACCTTGATATTACATCTTTGCAAGAGAGAAAGATGAATTAAATTACCAAATTCTAATATTACCCAGTTTGTTTAAATTGACTAATTTGTTTAAATTGACAATCTCTAAATTTTAAGATTGCTTAACTGAATGATGTATAAATAGTGGTACTAAGTAGAAGATTGATAAGTGTCATGGATGATTGACCACCTGAATGTCATATTTATATAACAAAGTTCAAAATAATAGAAAGGCATTCCAGTAATTTAGGGGGAAAAAGTCTCTTCTTTATTAAACTTATCAGAGACATACCAGAGAATACCATAAATGCTGAACCATTAATTACTATATTTTGTATGCTCAAGTTATGAAGATAATTGATCCTGTTAATTCTAAATTGAAAGTTTTCAAAATATTTTTATCTGCCGCTACCCTAAGTCTCAGAAATAGCCAGTAAGCTGTGTGCTTGTATTTCTTAAAAATCGGAACATTTTCACAGAATTTATTTTCTAAAAACATAAAACTAAAATGTTTTCTATTGAGTATTTTCATTAGTGCTATTAACATTGGTATATCACAATCATTTCTATATCTTTATATAGCACCTGTTATAATTAGCTTTCTCCAAAGATCAGTATTTTTAAATAGATTATCAGATTCATTGCTTTTTGTTTTGTAGGATTCAAAGTAAATTATAAGGCTGGTGCTAGTAGATTTTTCAAGTGACAAAATATCACCTTTCAGTTGTTTTTTTTCCTCAAAGGATTTTTGAATTACATAACCCTTTTGAGCCTATGGTAGTCTTTAAAAGTTGATAGACTTTCTTGACATCATTTAACAGAAAAGGAATTTTGACTTTCTTATGACTACTTTAGCAACAATTAGACTAAGGTTGGAATACTTCTAATATATCTGCATTATCCCACTGTCCACTCTCAGAATTAGTGCATAGTGATTTTTAGCTGTAGATGAGTATACCATTTATCAGTAAGAATAAACAACAGTATATATTTCAGTTTTTAAAAATGTGCAATTATTAAATTACTAATAACACATCTTTGAGATAGGTTGAAGTTAAAACATGAACATGGTTGAAAGTCATTATGCTTCATTTTCTTTCACTTTGAAATGAAGAAACTGAAATTTTTAATATAACAAATATAAATGAAGTATGAGAGTGACAAAGCATAGCCTACTAATTCTTAGAATATATATTTTATACCCTCTTCTGAAAAATTTCTCCTGGATTCAAAAGCTTACCTCCCAAAGCAATGTGTTACCTCGAACTTATTAATTATTAAATAATTCAAAAGGCTGCAATTGTGACTTCTAACTTCCTGAATCCACATCTTACAGGTTTGCATTAAAGTTAATAAAATATTCAGGCTATTAACTTTGAAAATGTTTTGGAATCAGAAAACTTTAAAAAAAAAGTGTGTGTGTAGGAGACCTCATATAGTATGCATCTTTGTTTTTCAAAAACCTAGACAGGGCCTCCCCGGTGGCGCAGCGGTTGAGCGCTGGGTTGCAAAGCTGCCCGCGGCCTCTGTGGCGCCGGCTCGATCCCGGCTGCTCCCCGGCCACCAGAGGAAGGTCCCACATGGCACGCAGACCTCTCCTGCCGCCCGCTGCTCCCCTCAGCAGTGTACTTCGGTCCTTCTGCCTGCTCTGCTCCCCGCTCTGGCTCTGGTGAATTCTCTCACCCTCCCGTGCTTCTGACTGTACCCAGTGCTTGTATAAACAAAAACAAACAAACAAACAAATAAATAAAACATGCCTCTATTAAAAAAAAAAAACCTAGACAGTAGTTTCCACAATTATTTCTCTCCTTGAGTAGGAGTAGATATATAGCACATGGCATGAGAGTCAGAAATTGGAAAAAGAAAAATTTGTAAAATAAAGTAGCTCTATATAAAAATAGCTTTTTATTTAATTTGGCAAGATATGCTTATGAATACTTTCAAAAATCAAGTTTTTACATTAAAAATCAAATTTTGGGCTTAAAAGCCAGAGGTAATCCTTAAAACTTGTTTTTCTTGTGCCTTTCGACCTGATCAAAATAAGTTTTGAAAAAATTGGCATTAAACATTTTTATTAACATGTATTATTTTCTATAATAATTTCAAACTTTCTGTCTCCTTTGTCCATTTGTTTGTTTTTTTCTCTGTTATTCATTTTTTTCCCATTTAATTATTTTAAACTGGGACCTATAGGTGGCAGTAGGGGAAATAGTGAAAGTGACCAATGGGGAACATCTCCCAGCAGATCTCATCAGCCTGTCCTCAAGGTTAGAACCACTGAGTTGTACAGGATGTGTGTATGTGGATCCTCACCCTACACCAGAAAGCAGTTGCACTCAAAGATGCTTGAGTTCTGTGTCTCGCCCTTTAAATCACAAACTTTTTTATATTCCTTGGCGATGGACATTTGCAGATTTTTTAAAGGTCTTTATGAATACAGTGTTAGATGATGTTCACCCTTCAGGTGGACAGATTCAGCTCCTATTATCAGTAGGAGTCCTTAAGTCCTGGCAGTAAAGGTAGATTTAATTTCCTATGCATCGTTAATAGAGATTCATATTTTAATTACATGCCTAAATACTCAGGCTTTCTTTATTACCTTCCTAGCATATTGTTTTAAACAATGTTAAGCTTTTTCATGAAGCACAGTTATTAAGAAATTTATAAGATTTGTCTTATTTTGTATTTGAAATTTTCTAATAAAATTCTGTTGAATCCCATCAGTGATTATGACTGTAACTTGGGCTTGTCTAGGGTTTACAGAGGACCCCCTGCACAAAGCTGGATGTTGTACATTTTGTACTGCATGCTTTGGGATCAGTTATTATCCCACTTGTAACTAGTGACAACCTGCATGTAACTGTGATTGAAAAGTGTCAGCTGTTTTACTAGTGTCTGTATTGTGATGTGCATCTCCTTTCATTTTCCTCTTACTAATCAAAAAGCCTGCTTTGCCTCTCTGACTGTAGCTTGTGTTTTGGATGTCATGATAATTTGCTGAAATATTTATTATCTCGCATGAGATTATCTGCAACTTCTTGTTGCCTTTTCATAGCACTGTTAAGAACCACTTCATTAACAGCTGACTTAAGGGATTAACAGTGTTCTGAAATTAGATGCATATTTATTGGCCCCCACATAAAATTGCAGCCAATCATTTCACTTTCTGACATCCTAGCCATTTAGTCCTAGAAAAGTTGCTTTAAAAAAAAAAAGATAGAAATAAAAGAATCTTAATCTCATTTTAACATGAGAATGCCCTTAGATATATTGATCAGTAAAATTTTAATGTATTTGCCACCAAAATATGGAATCAACTTTGTTCATATAGCTTTGGTCATCATGCTTCTACATTATCAGATGTGCTTTATAATTTCACAAACCACTTATGTTTCAAATTATATAAATAAGTAAAATATGAAATAGGAACAATTTCCAGAGCCAAATTACTGTGACAGTAATAAAAAATAAAATTCTGAATAATTGGTAGTTCAAAATAGAAAACTTCAAATAAAAAACTTCCCCAGTTGGGAAAAAGTATCAGTTTCTAAAAAAAAGTAAATTGAAGAATTGCAAAGCTACTTTAAAATGAATCTAAAATATTTGATGAATAGCCAAGCATTTCACTAATTTTCACAGACCACAGTTTCCTCAAGCCCACAAAATTAACCTAAATGCTCATTTCTGCAACTGGGATTAGTCTCTTTTACACATGTACACATTTGAAGTTGATTAGAAAATTCCAGGTGTCTGAGACTTGAAAATGTATAACTTTGACTGCACATACTTATCATAGACTGTCTTCCTAGTTACTTGAACATCAGTAAATTAGGCTTATTGTATAACCAAGTGCTAATAGGTTGACTTCAGAATGCTTTTCCTTATAGTTGAGGGTCAGATTATCTAGTTGAACTGCAGACTGACAGATTTATAGTTCCTGGGCAAGTGAAGTTAGCTATGAAGGGGAGGATGTGAGGAGATCCAGGGTGCAGGAGATATGATGATATGGGAGACATGGACCCTTAGGCAGCCCACACTCACCAGACCCCTAGAACACTCTCGTGAGGACCCATCAAATGGATCTTCCCAGCAGTATTGCTCAGTGAACTGATTTTAGTTTTAGCTGCCATAAGAATCTCTGAAGCATCCTCAATTGATAGACTAGGAACAGAAAAAAATAGGGAGAAAAAAGTGTATATCTACTTTCTTTATAAAATATGTTTATACCACTTTTGAAAGCAGTCTTAAGATGTAAATATTATGGTTCATATGATCCTGTTTACCTCTTCCAAGAGGATAGTAGAAGCAAGTTTGTAGAAGCAGCAATCTGGAATTTTCTAATCAACTACTTAACTAATTTGCATGTGGGCTACAAGCATGAAATCTCACTTGATGGTTTTTGAGCTTAAGATAAATCTGGACACAAAAGTGCTTTACCTTTCAGATATACTCTGCTGTGTCTATATGGATGGACAATTTAAGCATAATGCGACAATCCAATCATTTACAGTACCTTGAAGATCAGTACTGATTATGGTCAGGAAATTGCTTTTGAGTCCTTCTGGCTGAAAAATTGATCCGTGCGTCATGCATGGGTTCTGTCTTACAGCATCTTGCTGTTAGAATGAAAAATATAAAGAAACTAGGCAACTAAAACTTTGTTTAGAATGAAAGGCTTCAGTGAATCTGAGCACTTAAATGTCATTATTATGCCTTCCTTCCACCTCTAAATCCTTGTACTTTTCAACTTAAACAACAGTGAGCCCCAGGCCATGTGCTACATTGAAACATCCAACTTAGATGGTGAAACAAACCTGAAAATCAGACAGGTAAGATCTAATACAGATTATGTAATTTTTGTTTTATTACATGAAATTAAGAACTTTATTTCTTAGTGGTATTGTCTTGAGTTGAAGTCATTTTGTCCAATTGTAAATATTTTCTCCTTTCGCCACTATGACAAGGGTTTATAAACCGGTATCATTAAGTATCATGGAAGACTCAGGTTGACTTGCATGATTAAATATACTCCATCATGGAGATAGATTTGTAATAGTATTTTCAAGTTTATGCACTAGCCAATATTCAGATGGTAATAGTAATGATAGTTCGTAGTGTTCTTGATTTATTTTCCCTGTCACCTAGTCTGTATTATTGTTTGACTTTGCCATGTTGAAAAGACACACCTGCTATTGCTATTCTAAAAGTCTTGTTAATTTCAAGGAATAATTTAGATTTCTATATTTGTTTTTCATACCACCCCTAATAGAAAGTAAGTATAGATTTTTATTTTTAAAGTTTTTAAAGAGACTTTTAAAAATGTATCACCTTGGGTTCCAGGTGAAAAGTGAAATGACAAGTGGGCAGGATGTGATGTTGTAGAAGGTCCTCACAGAAACCAGAGCAAAGAACTATTTTGAAATTTTTCTTCTCAGTACAGTCAAAGAAAAGAAACATAACTATGCTCTTTGAGCTTTGATTCGATTTGTTATCTCCTTTCTGAGATTCAGCAGACAGACTTGGATTGGGTAATACTAAATATTTTTATTTAGGGAGGCAAATGACTGTTGAAGGACTTATTTAAAATATTTTCTTATATAATTCTTATATCATTTTTCATTTTTGCACAATGTATGCATTTTCATTTTTGTTATATTCCCCATAAGAATTATATAAAATAAAGTATTAAAAAAAGATTAACAGTTAAAAAAAAATTTTCATATTCTAGTTGTTAGTTACCTAAATATATTTTAGAACTTTCACAAAGCTGCCCTGTTCTTGTGCTAAAAACCCATATTTAGGTGGAAAGGAAGGTATATATTAATTGTATTTGACAGAGATATTGTATCTAGAGGAGAATTTCTTATAAAATAGTAGATTTCTTAGATCTTAAAAATCTAAATGAACTCAGAGTCCTTATTTCTCACACACACCTTATTTAATGTACTTTGCTTATTTAACACTTTCGAAACAGGGCTTGCCAGCAACATCAGACATAAAGGACATAGACAATTTGATGAGAATTTCTGGCAGAATCGAGTGTGAAAGTCCAAATAGACATCTCTATGATTTTGTTGGAAACATAAGACTTGATGGATTTGGGTATGTAAAATCAGTTTCATAAAAATGCTGAATTCTGTATGTAACATGTAATGCTGAGTGACTTCCAAGCCCACATACATATCTTTTCTTGTGCCCTAGGTCTTTTCTTGTGCCCATGTATCTTTTCTTGTGCCCTAGGTCTTATGTCTGAAAAACTTTTTCTTCTTTTTTTTTAGATTTTTTTTTTTTAATTTTATACAAGAACCAGGGTACAGGCCAGATGTGCGGGAGGGTAAGAGGATTCACCAGAGACAGAGCAGGGAACAGAACGGGCAGAACAACCAAAATACACTGCTGAAGGGAGCAGCAGGCGAGACAGGAGAGGTCTGCCGTGCCATGTGGGCTGCTCTTCGGCGGGCGGGGATCGAACCAGCATTGCAGAGGCTGTGGACAGCTTCACAGCACTACACTCAACCACTTGTGCCACTGGGGAGGCCCCTGAAAATATTTTTCTTAAGCATTTACATGTTGCTTCTACCCAAGAGTCATTTTGTAAAAATGCTATATCTTAACCTTGTACACCTGGTATAAATGGAGACTTTCTCTGGGTTCCTGCCAGCCTGGCAACTGACAGGTTGAAAAAAGATTCTCAATACCTTTGGGTTTGTAGCATAGTTGACTTTTATAGTGTTAACCCAGAAATCTTAGAGTCTTTATGCTTGACATGAGTGTATTTTCTTTCCTTTAAGAATAAAGGTCATTGTTCAATGCCAGGAGCTTTGGCTTTCTAGATGAAAACTAAAAACTTGCCCTTTAGTCCTTGTAATTGAAAAGTTATATTTTTTTTTAGTTTTTGTAGGGTTTGTACCTTATTCCAGTCTCACAAATGCTGAGGTGATAGTTTCTATATTGTACCCTATTGGATACTTAAGGAGCAGTTGGCTCATATATGCCCCAGAACATTTTTCAGCAACTTCCTAAAAGCTTTTTGGAAGGCTACTTTAGTCCTGAGCCCCCTCCCAGCTCTGAAGTATACCCCAAATTTTGAGACATACAAAAGATGGAGTCCTTTCCTGGTGAATCTAAAAGGCCAGTTGATGTGCTTGAAGAATTGAGAGCTATCATTGCTGTGTTCTTTTTCAAAACTAGAATACACAGTTTATTAAAGAGTTATTCATTTAAATGGAGGGCTGAGGGTCTGTTATTACCCACTCATCTGAACTGATTTCACCTGGGCCATTAGCATTTGTGCAATTTCTGAAATAAGGTCCAAGAGTCAGCCAGCTAGTGGCCTTAGATATTTTCCTGAGCATAGAAGCAAGCAGAAATGAGTTTCAGTCTCACTTTGCCACCTCTGACAAGTTACTCCCTGCCCCGAGACTTTTCTTGGAATTGTTCCTTTTTTCTGGAATGTTTAAATATATTTTTCCTTATATGTGATATTTCTTTCTTTGCTATTTTCTTATTAAAATAAAAATGTGGTGATGGGAATCCCTGAGCCAATGAATTTTGTATAGGCTATTTCCACCAAGAATAAATTGTATCTGTGATTTTATTTGTGCCCTTCTGATCTCTGTGGGAGGTTGTATCAGCCTCTTCTAGTGAGTAGCTCACTAAACCTCCACAAAAAAAGACTCAGCTTGACCCTTATTCAAAAAAGGTAAGACTTAAAACATACGAAATAACCTCAATTAACTGTCAAGGAGAAGGGTATTTGACTTGCTCGGTACTTACCACTTACTGGAAATGTATTCACAGTTCTCAGAGAACTGATCTTAAAATACAATAAAATAAATGCCCTAAAGATTTTAAAATCAGGATCATGTCTCTGGAAGGCAGGGATGGCAATGCAAGTAGATAATGAGATCTGTGTATTGTCTTACCTTATATACACTTTTCTATACAAAAAGCTATTTTTAACTTCATAGATGGAGAACAGATCCCCTAAATTCACCACTTTCAAACATCTCAGAATCTAAATAGATTGACTAAATCAGGAAAAGACTTTTAAATAGGTTTGGAATTAGCCTTTGAATTCTAAACATTTGCCTACTATTTTGGATAGTGAAGTTGTAGGAAATGGCTGATTTGATGTTAAGGAGAAGGAATTTAAATGCTTCCCTCCAGCTGTCCTTGTGTCAGAAGACTATTCCTATTGGTAGGAAAATTACTTCTTTTCTAAAAATACAGTAACTGTGAGAGGGATTATTTTAACAACAGAACCTATGTTGAAGCTATATAGTGGTGATAGCATTTCTGTGCATTTTAGAAAGTGTCATTTCTAATGTCAACATAATCTGTCACAGCACTGTTCCGCTGGGAGCAGATCAGATTCTTCTTCGAGGTGCTCAGTTGAGAAATACACAGTGGGTTCATGGGATAGTTGTCTACACTGGACATGACACCAAGCTGATGCAGGTAGGATTTTATCTATGTAAACCTTCTGGTCCTGAGTCTTTTGAAAATGTGCTATTTGTAGCTCCCAGTATAGTAGTCTCAAATATGACAGAGCATCTGTCACAGATTCTGGAGCCCCCTCAGTGCATCCAGTATCTTAGTCTTCAGTCAGTGAGGTTATGAAATGGCTCCCTGCTCACAAGAACACTGGAAAGTTTCACCAGAGATCACCCAAAGCCTCAGCTCTCAATGATTCTGTATTTTGGCTCCTGGGCAGCATTAACTGACTATTACAAAGATTCATAGACGTCATCCATATCACAGTGAGTGTTCTGCATTAAATTACTTGCTTTATAATTTTAATACAGTAATCAAATTTTAAAATTGTTTTCATGAAATTAAAACACATGTGAACCAAATGTTAACCATTTTTCACAGCATTTTTATATTATATTTATATTAAACACAGCATTATATTAATCCCAACATTTGTAGCTGGGATTAGTGCTTGTAGTTGGGATAGTGCTTGCAAATGTCTGTGAACACCCCCTCTCTATATTATTATATTGTCAGTGTTCAATGGGAAACTTAGTTTTCCCATCAGGTGTGGAAAACTTCATTTTAAATGCTATGTGAAAATCTGCAAAGAGCTGATGAGACTCAGCAACAACAAAGAAAATAATCCAGTCAAAAAATGGGCAGAAGAGCTAAAAAGAAACTTCTCTGAAGAGGAAATGCAAATGGCCAACAGGCATATGAAAAAATGTTCAACATCACTTGTAATCAGGGAAATGCAAATCAAAACTACCATGAGATACCATCTCACACCAGTGAGAATGGCACATATTAAAAAATCTAGCAACAACAAATGTTGGCGAGGGTGTGGAGAAAAAGGAACTCTTCTGCACTGTTGGTGGGAGTGCAAACTGGTCCAACCACTATGGAGAGCTGTGTGGAGATTTCTGGACCTACTAAACATAGAGCTTCCATAGGATCCAGCAATTCCACTCCTAGGTATTTACCCAAAGGACACAGAAACATCAATTCCAAAGAACACCTGCACCCCTATGTTTATAGCAGCACTGTTTACAATAGCTAAGCTTTGGAAACAGCCCAAATGCCCAAAAATAGATGACTGGATCAAGAAGATGTGGTACATATACACCATGGAATATTACTCAGCATTCAAAAAAGATAAACACATGCAATTTGCAGCAACATGGATGGCGCTGGAAGGGATCATGCTCAGCGAAATAAGCCAAAAGAAAAAGAAAAATACCGGATGGTCTCACTCATAGCAGGAATCTAGAAAACTTAAATAAGGGACCAGGAAAATGAATATAAGAAAGTGAAAATCAAAATCAACAAAAAACTATGAACCAGAGACACTTTTTGGGGGTGGGGGGCGGGAGGGGAAGGATTGGGGTCAGAATGGGGCGTTTGCAATTGTATGGGGGAATATAAAAATAAAATTTAATATTAAAAAAAAAAATAAAAAAATAAATGCTATGTGAAAATCTACTCAAATAGGACTGATAATTTTATACATTGTAGATGCACAAAAATATATCAACAAGCAAGTGGTGCAGTTAATGACTGCAGCTCTAGCCACTTCATGAAATCTAGAAATCACCATTTTGTATCACATATGACAGATTTAATTTTCTGTCCTGTGATGCCTTGATTAGCAAAGATACAGCATAATCATTTTTTATTAATAAATAGTACTGAGAAAACTTACCTCTGTTATTTTCTGTAGCCAGGTCTGCTTAGATTACTGTTGTGTTGTTATGTGAAATATTTACTAAATGCCATCAGAAATGTGGAAACCAGAGTTGTCTTCATAGTTTGGAATTTCCAGCTGTCTGGCTCTATGTGTCTAGATCTATGCTTCTGCCTCTTCCAGAGCTGATATGCTAGCTACTACTCATCTACCCTATTTACTTCAAAAGTCAAGTAATGCATTAACATACCTGCCATGATAGCCAAAGCTATGTCTGCAAAAGGATGTTATTTCCTTCTCTCACTATTATTGTTTTATGTCCTAGAAAGACTTAAAGTGGTATAGTAGCCTTTAAAAAATAAGCTGTTAACAATTGACAGCCTATCACATCTATGATTATTTTCTGTATAATTTTCATATATCTACCATTGTCTAGATTTTGTGTTGACTGACTTTGTCATCCTCATCAAAGTACTGGAAACACATTACTAAATCATTTGTACACCTGTTTTATTATTCCTCTTGTTTTTTTTTTTTTTTTACAGAATTCCACAAGTCCACCACTTAAACTCTCAAATGTGGAACGAATAACAAATGTACAGATACTGATTTTATTTTGTATCTTAATTGCCATGTCTCTTATTTGTTCTGTGGGCTCAGCCATTTGGAATAGCAGGCATTCTGGAAAGGACTGGTATCTCAATTTAAACTGTAAGAATCAAAGTGCTATGGCACTTATTTTCATCTTTCATTTAAAAATGCATTTATTTTATAGATGATCTTGAAATTTCCAATTATTTCTAAAAAGAACACCTGTTGCCAATATAACTGGACTTTTAATTCTTACTAGACTCTACAGTTTCAAAATCGTTGAAAAATGGGCACTCTGGTATAAGTGGCATTTTCTTAGTTATTTTAATTAATGTTATTGTTTTAAAAATACTTTATCACAGGTAGTGAGATAGATATCTGGTTAGGAAAAAGCAGAGTGAGTATTATAAAGGGTGAAGTATATATATATTTAAATATTAAAATATATTTAATAATTATTAAATTTATTTTTATTCAAGCTTTTAAAATATTTATAAGCAAATATATATTTAAAGCACCAAAATTTAGTTTACAAGCTTTTAAATATTTAAATTGAATGTACTTTAACTCATTAATGTAGTGAATTCTGTGTTAATGGTTATCTTATCTTAGGGGAAGTGCTCTTGATTTCCTTTTGGAGCAGTTATCCTTTTATTATTGTGGGATTAATGTAGCATTACTGAATATTTCTACGAAGTAAATTTGTTGTTCCTTTTGATGAGTACTTAGCTAATAAATAATTCCCAAGTCTGAATGCAAATTCCAGCAGCAAAAATGACTTTTTCTGTTGTTTTCATTCTGTTTATTTAGGTGGCCAGCTGTTTCATGTTTTTGCTAATAGTCATTGATTTGCTATTTCAACATTGAAACTATTGCTGCTACCAACAGATTGTGTGTTCAGATACATTATGATGTATCTGGGATGGCTATTATTTTATTTTCATTATCAAGAGGAAGGAATATAATTTACAGAGCTGAGTTTCCTAGAGTTCAGTCCTATTTTGCTTTTACTACTGTGTTGTTTTACTATTTAGGTTGTTTTGCTGCTTTTTGTTGCTATTATTTTGTTTTCTTCTAAAACATGCCTTAAATTAGATATCGTGGGGGGGGTGTGGGTGTGTATGTGGGTGTGGGTGTGGGGGTGGGTGTGTGTGTGTGTGTTCCTATTCAATTAAGATATTACTCTTTTAAGCCCTTAGTCCTAGCCCTAGTATTTCTAAACTTCCTGCTTGGAAAAGGATTTTAAATATTTAACAGTACTTTTACTTTCTAGAACTATTATGCAGTTCTTAAAAGAATTCAAAACCTAGTTAACACAAATAATGCTATTCATCTTGAAAAAGGTATTTGGAAATAAAGATAATAGCACAGTGTTCCTCCACAGCCATCTAGAGATGCTATATATTATGGAAATTCTTATTAGGCTAACGTGTTACAGTTGGTACAAATAAAGTATAGAACTGTAAATGACTTTCTTCCCACCTTCCCCAACAGATGGCGGCGCTAATAATTTTGGACTGAATTTCTTGACCTTCATCATCCTTTTCAACAATCTCATTCCTATCAGTTTGCTGGTTACATTAGAAGTGGTAAAATTTACCCAGGCATACTTCATAAATTGGGTAAATATGCATTATTATCATAATCTCTCTAATCATAAATTTTGTCTTTTTTTTTCCTGATAGTCTTTTGACCTCTCAGAAAAACAGTTTAGTTTTACCTTATCTTTCATTGACTATGAAATGACATTTCAAAATAATTTTGAGCCTAATATAATTATAATGAAGTTTCTACTCAGAATCACGGAAGTATACAGACCAGATGTCTTAGGTCTCTAGCTCCACAAACTTGTTTTAAGTTACACAGTGGTCTTGGGCAGGTTGGGATAGAGGTCAGATATGCGGGGGGGGGGTGAAAAGATTCACCAGAGACAGAGTAGAGAACTGAACAGGCAGACTGTTCTACCCTTATTATGAAATATTGTATTCTATATTGAACTCTTTTCAGGGAAATCAAGTAAAAATGGAATACGGATGGCAAGAAATAATAGTGGTTACATATGTAGCTTACCAGTTAAATATATTTTCACTTATTCTCTTGTTAGCAATTGTATCCAATGATTTCTTTTATATATATATTTTTTAAAGGATCTTGACATGCACTATGAACCCACAGACACTGCTGCTATGGCTCGAACATCTAATCTGAATGAGGAACTTGGCCAGGTAAGTTAAATTTCTTCTTACTATGTTGATTTAGAATCAAATTTTGTGTGACTTCTGCCATTCATGGCAATTTCAGATGAATTGATAGCTCCTAATTTTCTATTGTTTGAATAATTGGTATTAACAAGCTGTTAGTACATAAATATTAATTTTCATTTTTAGAAAATAAAGTTTTTAAAACTAAAGTTTGTTTTGCTGTCAAGATAAAGTACTCCAGTGAGGGATGTCCCTCAGTATAGTATCTGGTAAGTATTAGAGTGAGTGTTTTTTGTTTTTTTTTTTAAATAATAAATTTTATTTTTATATTCCCCCATACAATTGCAAAATCCCCATTCTGACCCCAATCCTTCCCTTCCCGCCCCCCACCCCCCAAAAAGTGTCTCTGGTTCATAGTTTTTTGTTGATTTTGATTTTCACTTTCTTATATTCATTTTCCTGGTCCCTTATTTAAGTTTTCTAGATTCCTGCTATGAGTGAGACCATCCGGTATTTTTCTTTTTCTTTTTGGCTTATTTCACTGAGCATGATCCCTTCCAGCGCCATCCATGTTGCTGCAAATTGCATGTGTTTATCTTTTTTGAATGCTGAGTAATATTCCATGGTATATATGTACCACATCTTCTTGATCCAGTCATCTATTTTTGGGCATTTGGGTTGTTTCCAAAGCTTAGCTATTGTAAACAGTGCTGCTATAAACATAGGGGTGCAGGTGCTCTTTGGAATTGATGTTTCTGTGTCCTTTGGGTAAATACCTAGGAGTGGAATTGCTGGATCATATGGAAGCTCTATGTTTAGTAGGTCCAGAAATCTCCACACAGCTCTCCATAGTGGTTGGACCAGTTTGCACTCCCACCAACAGTGCAGAAGAGTTCCTTTTTCTCCACACCCTCGCCAACATTTGTTGTTGCTAGTTTTTTTAATATGTGCCATTCTCACTGGTGTGAGATGGTATCTCATGGTAGTTTTGATTTGCATTTCCCTGATTACAAGTGATGTTGAACATTTTTTCATATGTCTGTTGGCCATTTGCATTTCCTCTTCAGAGAAGTTTCTTTTTAGCTCTTCTGCCCATTTTTTGACTGGATTATTTTCTTTGTTGTTGCTGAGTCTCATCAGCTCTTTGCAGATTTTTGTGATCAGTCCTTTATCATTAGTGTTGGGTGCAAAAATGTTCTCCCAGTTGGTGGGGTTTCTCTTTGTTTTTGTTATTGTCTCTTTTGCTGTGCAGAAGCTCTTTAATTTGATGTAGTCCCAGCTGTTTATCTTTGCCTTCACTATCATAGAGTGAGTGTTTTAAATGTGAATCCCAAGTATTAAAATTATCTATAACTTTTGACCAGAAAGGAAGTTAAACTTGATCAATGATGTTGTGTAAATCTAAGTATAATAGTAATCAAACAAGAATTTTAGATTTATAATTCATACTGTATTTCCATAAATGTGTATATCTATAATACATTTATACATTCTGAGAAAAAAATCTTTTTGTACTACTACCTTTGATAACTCTTACCATACAAATTGCATTTAGGTGAGAATTATCCTTTTTCTTTGCAATTCAGATGTTATATGAAGTTAATCGCACAAGCTATTAATAATTCTCTAATTGTCATGTTCAGAAGTGCTGATATTTAGTGTTATTAAATATTAAGTATGGCTAGTGACACACTTTAGTGGAAATCCCATCCCCATAAGGGAGATTTCTGTATGACTAGTTTTTCTAATATATTGATAGCCTTTAGTGTTCATATATAAAATGGTTCATTGCTAAAATGCTAAAAATGACAGTCAAACTTATTTCTTAATATTTTGTGCAGAAAATAGTAGCATTCATCGTACCCCTACAATGTAACAAAACTGACAAAAAGCATAATTTAAGGAACTTTTTTCCCTCTCTAGGATACTGTCACAAAAAAAAAAAAACACAACTCTGGAGTTTTAATGAGACTCTGATTATTTTTTTAGGTAAAATACATATTTTCTGACAAGACTGGTACTCTGACATGCAATGTGATGCAGTTTAAGAAGTGCACCATAGCCGGAGTTGCTTATGGGTGAGTGTTTCCCCTTTAACTGGGAAATGAAATACATGTTGAATTATTGCTAATAGTTTGGCACATTTTGGGAATTCTTATTGAGGGAGTTTTTATTTTAATCTAAAAAGCAGCTGTTTTAATTTCAGCATGTCTGTACACATGATTTATAGTTTGGTATTTTTTATTTGAAATTACCTGTGAGGTAGGGTCTCTACCAAGTAATGTCTCTGTTTAGAGTTACTGAAGCTCTCTGTCTGGGTTTGGTATAAGGTACAAATACACTTTCCACTACCTTGCCATAAAGTTAGAGCACAGCTTGCGTCTGGCAAAAACACGCAGTCTGTGCTTGGGCAGTTTTCAAGTTAAAGTATCATTTCTCTAATGGTTATACCTTTGATTTATTTTGTTGTTGTTGTTGTTTATCATCTTTCCTCTTTGAAGTCTAAATTTCTGATAGCAGGAAGAATGTAGAGACAGGAAATTTATATCTGGGGAGGATATAGAATACTATCAAAAAGCTTTTCAGGCTCTTAATATCCTTTAGAATTTAGTGCTTATTGGACATGAATAATTTCTTACTTCCATGTATGCTTGCCTAAATTGTTCAAAAACCTTCTTTTTGAAGACTTTAAATGATAATATGAGAAAAATATTTCTACATTTCTTTAAAAAGATGTGATCAAAAGGTGAAACACCCTTATATTTGATTGACAATGGCATATTATCAAATTTTCCAATTATCTTTATCTATAGGTAAGATCATTTTGGCTACAGCCCATCTCCCAGTGTAAGATATTAAAGAATTAGGCATAGCAAGACAGCAGCCATTTTAAGAAAAACAGACTTTTTAAAGGGCACAGCTATGCCCTAGTTTCATTTCAAGGCAAAAACCACCAGACTGGGGTAAAAACCACAAGACAAGGGTAGACAAAACTTAACTAGTGCCAAGGAGAGATACCCAATCAGGCCAAACTTGGTCCCTGGTGTGAAAGTCCCCGCATCCTGTCAGCAAAGTACAAAACAGTTGGTTGCTCTGAGAGGGGGTCCCTCTCTCAACCTGATGAGACTGCTGTGTCAGTACTCCAGGCAGAGTTGGGCCCTAGCTTAAGCTAGCAATAAAGCCTTTTGCTTTTGCATCTCTGGCTCCGTGAAGTCTTTGGGAACCCTGGACGGAGTTAAGGCGCCAACTCCTAACACCAGCCTTTCTCCAAGGGCCCTCGCTTTGGGGGATTTCTGACTTGTACTGACTCTTCCCACTCATACTGTCTCCAAGCAGTAAACAAATATAAAAAGCGCATATTGGATTTTTGAAATGCTTTATTTAAAATTATAAATATCTATTTGGTAGAAAAAAATTCTAAAAGCACGTGCTTACTCCTATACACAGGACCCATAGAGAGAAATCGGTGGAGGCAAATATCCTTGTTCTTTGGCATAGCAGAGTGTGGCTAAAAATGAATTTACATTGTGTGTATAAAGAAAAAAACTAAAAAGACTTTTTTTGAATGGCCTTTTCACACTATAAGGACAGGATGTTAATTTAAGAAGCATACTTACTGTTTCTGGAACTGGATGCCATTTTGCCACTTAGGCCTATCTGAAGATTTCATTAGACAGAAGAGGCTCTCCTTAGCCCTCTCACCCACCTTCTCCCGGACAATTGGTACTGGTCAGCTGCAAGAGCAGGAATGGTGCAGTCAGGCTTTGATGTACTGTGTTTCTTTATTCTTAACCACAATTATCCCAGATAAGAGAAGGAGTATCCAGTTGTGATTTTAGCATTTGTTGTATTATAATTGCTGGCAGATTTCCAATAATTTATCTGTTTTTATACAGATCGTACATTCATTCATAAATGTTCTTTTTAATGTGATTTTTTTGTAGTTGCCATTCTTTTGTACTTGTCTAGTTTCCAACTGAATAGCAAGTTCTTCAAACTAGTCATTATTGATTTTGAGCTTATCAGAACAGCAAGCTGAAATGATACCAGATTTGAATTTTTTTCTTACTCGTGGAGCAAGTCCTTAAACACAACAGGCAGTAGTCCTAATGAGCAGCGTTCTTCCTGGATCTGGGGTGACATGGTCATTAACAACTGCATTATGATGATAGAGTGGGTCCTAGACTGGTAAATATTAAATTAGTATTTGGAGTTAAGGAGTATTTTGCAATAAATGTCCAGTGAAATAGATTTCCTCCTGGGAAAATAACATTTCTTATATGAAGATGTAGTCAAAAGCAAGAGTTGTAGTTGTAACGTTGTCACTAATTTACCATAAGACCCTAGACACTCTGTTTCAAATATTCCAAACATTTTTGTTGATGTTGAAACCAGATGATCTCCTAGGTTCTTATTCCAATATAGAATTTTGACATGTTTAGAAATAAAACAGGCTTTCCCTATTTGCAAGTTTCAATAGAAAGTTCTTTTATGATATGTACTCCTGAATACCACATGTCTTGTTAAGTGAAGCTAGTTAATTAAACAGCTTCCAATCGTCATGCATAGATGGTACATGGGCTTTTAGGATTTTTAGCCCTGACTGAGTTTTTATTAACGTGTTTTCTTTCTCCAACATCGTAAAGAACAGTTGGATTGCCAGCATTTTAGCAGGCTTTGGAGAAACAATGAAGCTTTCAACTGCCCAGATATTTGCAGAAGAAAACAGAACATTGTTATTTAATTTCGTTCAACTCCACAGAAAAAAAAGGAATTGCTGAACCACCTTTCTGTGGGGATTTAATTTGGATACTCTTGGGTTATAGGAACAAGGTCAGGAAAATAACATGATTTTACTGTCCCATTTGCCTCACAGCAGTGTTTAAGACTTGTTTTATATGGGGGACTTTCATGTGCATATACTTCTTACAGAAGAAAGCATGGTATTTATCCTCTTAGGAAATGTCAAAACAAAGGAGAATAAAAGAAACTTTCATATATTAGCAAATGTTTGGGGGCAATAATTTCATAGCCTATTAAGCATTTTTAAGAAATGAGGTAAAACCTAGTTTTGCGCTGCACAAGTCAAAGGTGAGTTCTGTTGACTTCTATCAGTTTAAAGGACAAAAGCCAAAGTCTGTTGAGAATATCATGCAGGCCCAACTATGTATCCTATAGGTTTCTAGGATGGTGGTCCTTAACCAGTAGGTCAACATTTAAAACAGTGCTTCAGAATTTAGCCTTACTTAGTTTTCTCTCATTTCATGTAACCTGTGCCTCAAACTGTATTCGTGATTAGTTTTCAAAAAAATTAGTGTACAGAGATTTGTACACTTAATTACACTGATTATTTTATAGAGATCAACTTCGTAAGAGATGCCACTGTGCTTAAACTTATTAGACTGTTCCATTATATTTTTTAGTTAAAAATAAATGAATTGTGATGTAATTTACAAATTTAATTTACTACAAATTAAAAATTCTACAGCTAAACATTTGTTATTTGTTAAAGTGCCATTTCACCAAATTGCTTCCTATTGGGAATAAGTCGATTTTATCACATTTTCATGAATATCAGAAATAGATAAATTAACTATTCCCTTACATGGGTGGCTAGGATTCTCAACATAGTACTAACTGTGGACTACAATCCAAAATATCATCTTTGGGCCTCCCCTGGTGGCACAGCGGTTGAGCGCTGGGTTGCGAAGCTGCCCGCAGCCTCTGCAGCGCCAGTTCGATCCCTGGCTGCTCCCCGGCACCGGAGGAGGGTCCCACAAGGTGCGCAGACCTCTCCTGCCGCCCGCTGCTCCCCTCAGCAGTGTGCTTCGGTCCTTCGGCCTGTTCTGCTCCCCGCTCTGGCTCTGGTGAATTCTGTCACCCTCCCGCGCTTCTGACTGTACCCAGTGCTTGTATAAATAAATAAATAAATCTTTTTTAAAAAATCATCTTAATGTCAACATTACTGTTAGAATGAGCTGATGAGCTGGGTGAGCTATAATCTCTAAAGTTTAAAAAAGTTGCATTAAGCAACTAACAGAGCTCTCTATGTGGGCAAGATATTTAATTAGTATTAAGCATTTCATTGATATTTTCCCTTTAAGTAAAAAAATGAAAGTTCATAAAAGTAATCTTTATTTATGTCAATACAGTATATGGATAGATAACTTTACTTGACAGTATTTGTTTAGCAATATATTTGCTGAAATTATCAGCTACTTTTTGAAGACTGAGAAGATGTGAACCATGATAAACCTCTTAATTATCATAATATTTTACCCCAAGTTCCAGATAATAACCAACAAATTTATTTTGCCGCTTACCATGACTGGTGATAGGCACCACTCATTTCTTTATTCACACATCTCAACAAGTTCATCTCCTTCTATACGTATTAGATGACAGGCATATAGAGATCGGCAAAACTTCACATGATTCCCACCTTCCTATAGTCTATAGTCTAATTGAGGGTTAATGGAGGCTTACTAATTTGGCAAATATGAAATATAACACAGTACGAAGATCTGTGTGATTCTGCAGTAGGGTTTGATCTAACCAGAGAGGTCAGGGACTGCTCCATGAGAAATGGATTTGGACTGAGATCTGAGAATGAATTTCAGTGAAGTACTTACCAGGCAGATCAAACAGCACTGACATGCCAACAAAGATGAATAATCAGACAACTGATACACACCAGAGCTGCTGGAACAGCAATCTCAGGATGCGTAGCAGGTGGAAGGGTGGACTAGTGCTCACCACAGTAAGGAGTGCTCAAAATCTGCCAGAGCTGCAGCAGACCTGAAGGAGATGATCCTGAGCCTTGAGCTCTCTGCTTTTAAACTGCATGACTTGAGAAGCACAGGTCCCTGACCGAATAAGGGATTATTATACACCACACTGGAGTACCTGGCAGAACCTTGACACAGTGCTTTGGTAGATAAGAGAATAGTGTGTAGGGCCTCCCCTGGTGGCGCAGCAGTTGAGCGCTGGGCTGCAAGGCTGCCCGCAGCCTCTGTGGCACCGGTTCATTCCCCGGCCACCAGTGAGGGTCCCACAAAAAAAAAAAAAAAAAAAGAAT